AATAGTAGTTATATAATAATAATTATTCTAAATCTTGGTTTAATTTTATTGTATTTACATCATAACTAATCATTTTGATCATTGGTAATGTGTGACTGGGCCTCATGCCACTTTATGTTGAACAAATTGGGCCCAGAGGTCAAAAAGCTTAAGAACCCCTAATTTAGAAAGCTACTAAAAGTTATTCAAATTAATTAACACATAATGTTCAAAGTAGAAACAAATAACATACCTATTAACACCCCCCAAATGAAAGTTATTCAACAACTATTTGACTGGCAGACTGCTTATTCTCCATGATGCTGATGATGAAGGTTTGACTAGATATTACATAACTGCGAGCGCAGATGATGACGTCATTTGTTAACCAACACGCTACCCTGCAGCTCCATTTCATTCAGTAAATATGACGGCTGTTTACATGTTTGCATTGACTGATGTCCACTGTGACCATCTTTTACCTTTAATGGCTCCTCGTTTGGGTGTAAGGTTGGCTTTTTTAGGGGTCGACTCCGGAAAGAGGGTAATCTCGTCTGGATTACCACCTTCTTCCTCAATCGCCTGTTAGTGAACAGTAAAATAAAATAGTATTATTTTAAAAAAAAAGCAATCACTGCAGGAAATCGCAGAAAAAAAGACAACTATTTGAATTAGATGTACTTATTTTGACGCCACCGACCACGACCCGATAGCGCTCATTCAGCACAAAGACCGCGAGAACCTAACATTAGCTTTCATGTTTTCAAAAAGTCTCGCGAGTTTTAACTTTTCAATTCGAACCTTTCGATCAGTAACACTGAATTTATATGCCTGTGCGATAGAAGATGAATAACCTTTTTCAGACGATCCGACAGGACGCTTTTGACGCCAGTCGTGTCCAGGTTTCGTTTCTTCAACTCGGCCTTCAGATCGATAACTCTCAGCTCCGATAGTTTGCGGACCTCCGCTCCCTCTGGAAGCTCCACATCTGCTGATGGGTTTGCCATCGTGTTGCCTGTAAATATTTCCAAATGAAAAAAGAAACCCACTTAGCGCGAAATGTATTGATTTGCGCTGCACCACGAATGGAAGCAGCTCTTGCAAAACGACTGCAAAATGGCGGACGTGTTGGGGCGGTGTAGACGACGTCAAAGCGCATGCGTATCTCAAGGTTGGTGCAGAGATGGTATGGCAGGCCGTTGTATCAAATAATTTAGCCACACGTCCCTTGAAATAGAAATGAAAAAATAAACATTTTTTATTTTATTTGGCACTTCCATTTTTTATTATGTTATTACATAAATTAAGAATATTTCTTCTAATCAAAATACCAGCATTACAAATTACAATTCAAATTATAGATATATAAAACAAGTTTCAAAAGGAAAAAAAAAATTGTAAAGGTCCTCTGGACGGGTTTTTCTTTAACAAGATTAACAAGATCTTTTACAGGATATCTACACTGAAACAAGTTTCACTGTAGATATCCACAATTGTTATCCTACAGAGTATTATGGCCACTCTTTAATTAACATCATAATATAGCGTGAATAAAGTCATAATTTTACAAGCAAAAAGTTGTACAAGAATGAAGTCATATTACAAGAATAGTACAAGAATAAAGTCATATTATTTGAACTCCTACACAAAAATTCAGTTTCACCACTGAGGAATATATGGATTAATGTACACGGCATTGCAGTTAAAGGCAACATTGACAGATTTAGTCATCATATAATATGGATGGAAGCATATTATTACACCAACAGTGACCTAAAAGTAATCGTGGACTACTTCATAAACACAGTGACACACATTGGAGGCTGTCCATAGCCGGTCCAAGTTGACCCAGGAACGGAAATTGGACATGTCAGTAACATTGTCTTTTTTCTTGTAATATTTAGTATTTGTTCCTTGTAATATTATGACTTCAATCTCGTAATTTAAATAAATCTTTGTCATGTGGCTCTAACATTGTCGTATTACAGTTGTAGACTTGAAACCTCAATGCACATAACTGGGGAAACAGGAACATCATTCATCCCTGAAAAAATATGTTTGCAAAATCATAAATGTGTATGACAAATAGAACAAATGACACTATTGAAAAATGAATCTCAAATAGGAGGAAAAAAATACAGGTATGTGCTTTGAATAGCCAGAATAACAAATATATCAATTAAACTGGCCTGCCACAATCTGTTGTAAACACAATACAAATACAGAAAAGCAAGACCTTTATAAGAAATGATACAAAAATGATACAAAATGATACAAAAGCTGAAGTCAAACCACATTTTTTTTTCTTTCTTCTCTGTTCATTCACATTATCACCACTAAACATAATGGAAATACACATTAATATAAATCTGTTTATAAAAATACAATGCATAGAAAAAAAGAACATAAATAAATCTCCTGCTTGTTTGTCATGATTATTAAATGTACACTTTCATCTTTGGACGCAAATTATATCTGAGCGACTGCATGATGCTTAGAAGGAATGGAAGTTGTACAAGTCACTGAATTTGTAGTCTGCATCATTCGTTTGGCTGTAGGGCAGACTCTTGCTGGCAACGAGAGGTTGTGGGGCACTGAATCTTTCAGGACTATCAGTCTCTTCTGGTACATTGGCACTCCTGGACGAGGTGAGAAAGCCAACATTAGGAGCTGTGCTGCCAGTTTGAGCACGATCCGTCCACATGTTTGAGGCAGAACCAGCAGAGGCAAAATCCTCGACAAAGGAAGAGCTCCCAGGAACGCTGCAGGAGCCGAGGCTGGGGTACGGGGAAGCTGAGGAGTTCTGAGAAGGCCGCGTCTCGTGGAGATTGAGTTTAGAGACCAGAGGTTTTCCCACTGTCACTAGTTGCCTTTCTTCTACCTCTTCGTCCATGTTGGCATAAGTGTACTGAAGGCAGACGGTGAATGTGAGCTCCCTCTGTAAAGGTAATAAAAAACAGTTTTAGTTTACAGAAAGAATATCAAAGTCACAACTTTTACTCTGATTCTTTAATATAATGAATGCAATTAGTTGTTTCCTAGCATGTCACTTATACAGCAACTTTGGTGGACAAAAACTTTATTAAAGACAAAAACAAGTGTCTGACTCTGAGTCTCTGCAGGCTGCGGAGGCGTGTGTAAAGACTTGGGACATCAGGTGATGGAAGTTCTTCCTTAATCAATAGTAAACATCCAGCTTCAATCAGAGTCTCCTGGTTGCTCTTTTTCAGATCAACATCCACTTCCTGTGAAAATAAACAGAGTAAAACCTAAAGTATGAGTTTTGATTAGTGAAGTATTTAATATGTAAATAAATAAAAATTATAGGAAAGTACAGAGAATTGAAACAAAACTGTCAGAGGAAAAACTGGGCCAAATCTATCCAGGTGAGACAAAACCTGATCTTGAAACCTAACTTTAGAGTCCAAACCTTTTGAGCTCTGACCAGTGAGGTGTATTGACTAGAGATTCTATCATGCGACTTTTCATGGTTAAAGGGCGGCCAAATTGTTCAAGGAAAAGACAACTCAACAGACAGTATGGTTAGGTGGTGAAGCTGAATGTGGCAACCATGGTAAGCATGACATGTTAAATTAAGGCCAGCACATCAATGGAACTCCATTTGCAATCGACAAACATTATTTTTGATTTAATAGAAATGCTTGTCAGTACATATCCTATCAGGCAAAAACATCTGGCCAAGGTACACAAGTCTGCAATAAATTGTTTCTAAAAAGGTAGAAGGTAACCAATGAAAAATTAGTATTTCTAATAATTCTACTCAGAAATATAGTCATAATAATTGACAGCCCGCCCCTCCCAATATGGCATCGTGCACGTACCACAGTGGTCAATCTCCTGAAGTGGGCATGAAGCCTCTAGTCAATACACCACATTGGTTCTGACCCACAAAAGCAAAGACTAGTGGCCCCAACTCATGCTGGTTGAAGTGCACAAACATTGCTAAAGAACCAAAAAACAAGGAAACAATGACATCCTAATCATCTATTACAGTATTTTTTTACAGTTTTTTTACAGCTGTTTGTATATTTTAGAATGGATGGATGGATGGATGGATGGATGGATGGATGGATGGATGGATGGATGGATGGAGGAATGGAGGGTTTGGTGGATGGATGGATGGATGGATGGATGATGGATGGATGGATGGATGGATGGATGGATGGAGGGTTTGATGGATGAATGGATGGATGGATGGATGGAGGAATGGATGGATGGATGGATGGATGGATGGATGGATGGAGGGTTTGATGGATGGATGGAGGAATGGAGGGTTTGATGGAGGAATGGATGGATGGATGGATGAGGGTTTGATAGATGGATGGATGGAGGGTTTGATAGATGGATGGATGGATGGATGGATGGAGGGTTTGAAGGATGGATGGATGGATGGAGGAATGGAGGAAAGGATGGATGGATGGATGGAGGAAAGGATGGATGGATGGATGGATGGATGGATGGGTGGAGGGTTTGATGGATGGATTGAGGGTTTGAAGGATGGATGATGGATGGAGGAATGGAGGAAAGGATGGATGGATGGAGGAAAGGATGGATGGACGGAGGGTTTGATGGATGTATGTATGTATGGATGGATGGATGGATGGATGGATGGACAGATGGATGGATGGAGGAATGGAGGGTTTGATGGATGGATGAAGGAAAGGATGGATGGATGGATGGAGGAAAGGATGGATGGATGGATGGATGGATGGATGGATGGATGGATGGATGGATGGATGGATGGTAAACCATACTCTTGTCTTGGTTACTCTGAATTAATTTTATTCAAAACTGGGTCAATTTCAATAATTAGTTGCTATGAAAACAAATTCAGGAGCTGTTTTTGAATTATGGAGGTCAAAGGCCATATGAAGTAAACAACCACAGGACAGCAGGTAGCTCACCACTGGGAAGTCAGTCAGCTGAGCAGAGCAAGAAATGATCTCTTTGGGTTTCTTGAGTATCCGGGTGTAGATGACCATAACATTGGAGAATTCTGCTGCGAAGCCCAGCTGAACCTTCACCCCACAGTCGAACTGAAGGCAGCGGCTCTCCGGTAGAACTGTGAAGGGAGACGTTGGAATTAGAAACACAAAATATTTTAGGGATATAAAACTGATCCACAAACAAAATAAGCAACTTCTACAAAGTTTTTTTTTTCCTTTCGAATATTTTAAAAAGGTTACCATGAGCTACGGCCCACTGCAGGTTCCGAGCTGAATAGGAGGAAGAACAGTCAGAAGTGTGGATATGGTCAGTGAGAGAACGTCTTTCTGACAGATTGCTGCGCAGCTCCAGAGCCTGCCGCCCTCTTGTGATCGCACAACGACCCATATCTAGAAAAGACAAACAGCCTTTTATGGTGGGACAAATATAAGTAATGTAAAAGAGTTGCTCATTTGGCATTTACCTATCAAGATTATGGATTAGTGAGCTAGACGTGACCCTAACTACAATCCTTTGTTGCTTGTGTGTGTGTGTGTGTGTGTGTGTGTGTGTGTGTGTGTGTGTGTGTGTGTGTGTGTGTGTGTGTGTGTG